ATGAACAAAAATAAATAAAATAGTCCTTTAAAAAATAAAAGAATGGGAACCAGCAGTTAGCGTAATGGCTATGTCGCTGGATTCCCACGTAGTTGACCGCAGTTCGCGTCCCAGACCTGGTGGTTTAAAACTCACACCGGGCACGTGTGCGTGCGTGCCCAAGATCCCAAGAGGAGAAGGGATTGTGGCGTGACCATCCCCCCTGGGGGGTGATTTCTCGCTTTCTGTCTCTATGTCTCTCTCTGTCTGTGGCGAGTGCACGCACCCTATAGCAAAAAAATTCTCAAAAAAAAAAGAAAAAAAAAAAGAATGTGGGCCAGCAGGTGGTATAGTGGTTAAGGCACTGGACTCCACCGTTCAAGTCCTGGAGGTGGCAGCTTGCTTTCTTACTTTCCCTTTCTCCCTCTCTCTCTCTCTCTCTCCCTCTCTCTCTCTCTGACTCTCTCTGGTCAAAGTTAAAAATAATAATGACAAATAAAATTAAATAAACAATTTTTTTAAAAAGGCATATGTCTAATTAAGCTTATTCTTCATTATGCCAATTTATCAGGTTTTCTCTTATTCTTAATTAAACTAATTTCTCATAAATATGTTATAAACTTAGGAAGGGAAGGGGGGTGAGGAGCCTTCCTCTAGATATTCTTGAGAGTAGCTCATAACAAGAGATTCAGCTCATGGTTTCTTTCTAGCCAGCAGACACACATCCAAGATCAGGCTAATAAAGCAGGGTGTCTCGTCATAAGTACAGGCATAAATAGAAGAGGCTCCGCAGGAAGGTTCTTGCCTTGTTCGTTACATGTATGGAGGCACCAGACACACTGTAAGAAATGAGGAAGAATAAAGACTCTGTCCAATCAGTGATGGGGTGGGGCATCTACCCACCTTCCGACCTACATATCCTACCCACGCGCATATCCATTTACCGTGTAGGTCAAGCACATCCAGAGGCTAGCACCCCAACTTGGCAAGGCTTCCAGGAGCTGGGACTCCAGGTAAGTTACAATGTCACTCCTGGTCTCCCCCAAAAAACACCCACCTCTTCTGCCTCTTCTGGTCATAGCTAGCTCTCTGTAATTTAAGACCTGGAACTCTGTGAAATGCTAACTATCACTAGGAGAGTGGTGGAGTTTTTAGAAACAGACATTTGCATTCCAGTCTCTGCCAGATACCTCCCTTAGGATAGGTCTTGGCTGGGCTAGGGGAGAAGGGAGGGGCGTTGTGTTCTGGGACACTGAGGCAACTGGGGAGAGAATGCAGGGGTGGGAGGGAGAGACGGGCAGGAGTCCCAGGACCAGCAGCTGGGGTCCCCAGGCTGCCTGCTGTGTTGGCACCTCTGTTTCTGAGGGCTGGCTCCTGCAGGTCTTGTCCAATTTTGTTTGTTGAGTTTCTGGCCTTTTAAATAAAAAGTAGAAGAAAACCTCTGCTCATAAAACAACACTCTGACTCAGAACAATATTTTGGTTGGCAGACCCACGGCCCATGCTGATCAGACACAACCAACTGGTTTGCCAGGTCATCCTGCAGGGTTTTAATATTCAACAGCAGAAGAAGCAGCAGAGAGAGTGGGATTTTCCATTAGAAAGTGCATGCGTTTTCGGGTCCTATGCACTAAAGACATGATCCTACATCCACAGGGTATCAAACCAGATCAGTTATAATCTGATGTAGGGTTTTCAGAATGCTACTTCATCTTTAAATACAAGCAAAAACAACAAAACAAACAAACAAAGAAAAAACACAAAACAACAACAAAAACAAAACCTCTTGATAGATCTGACCCAAAGTAATTGTCATCTTGACAATAAGTATCACCGTCTGCGACCCTTGCCATAATAATTGATTCATAAAAACATCACAGAAAGAAGTTAAAACCATAAGGCAAAAGTTTGATGAGAAATAAAGTATTAGTCTCAGATAATCTCCTCCAGACAACGTATTCATTGCAAAAGGAAAATTGTAATTTCTCAGAGGAAATTGGCAGACATCATCTTAACCTAAAATTCACATCACCAATAAAGGGACAAAAGGACATCATATGCCACAAGAGGTAAAGCACGGAGGAGGGAGGGCAACAGAGGAACTGCAAACAAGGAAGGCTTCCCCAGTGCACGCACACACATGTGCACACACCGACCCTGCACTTCGCCGAAGTCAGAAAGCACGAGGCTAAGGAATCCTTTCCAATTAAATGGGACCGACTGGAGCCAGCTACATGGTGTGACTTTTAAAGAGCTTGATTCTGAAATGGCCAACCATGATTTGAGTCCAGAATCCAGCAGCTTGAAATCACACTAGGCCCATGTGCTGCATGCCCAAACTCCCGAGAGAAAGGAGGAGAAGGGATTGCAGCATGGTCATCTCCCCTAGGGGGGTGCTTTCTCTCTCTCTCTCTCTCTCTCTCTCTCTCTCATGAGCGCATGTGCCCTAAAGCAAAAACTAAGAAAAAAAGAGAGACACATTATTGGGGCAATTAGACACTAACATGAATATGAATTGGATATTATAAAAGGTTGTTCCTGGGGACCAGCAGGTGGTGTGGTGGTTGAAGGTGCTGCACTTCCACATGGCTAGCTACAGTTCAAGTCCCAGAACTGGAGGCTTGCTTTCTCGCTTTTCTTCCTCTCTCCCTCTCACTCTGTCCCTCTCTGATCAAATTTAAATAAATAAATAAAGTTAAATAAGCTAATTCTTTAATAAATAAATAAACATTAAAAAAATAAAAAGTCAAAAAAATAAAAATCATTCCTGTTTTTGGTAATTATACTATGGATCTGTGAGAGAATGTCCTTGTCAATAGGAAATACATATGCTAAAATATTCCGGAGTGAAGGCCACTGAATCTGCAACTTACCCTCAATGGGCAGAAATATAATAACTAGTGGGACATGTGTGCGCATGCATGTGCGCATGCACATGTGATAGACAACAAGCACATGCACCTGCCGATGATGGGCCAGCCAAGGTTCAAGTTATATGAGTGTTCACTGCACAGTTCTTCTAACTTGTCTGTAAGTTTAGTGTTTTTTTGTTTAGTTTTGTTGAAGAGGTTTTTGCTATGGGGTCGTGCGCTCGCCAGACAGACAGAGAGAGACAGAGAGACAGAAAGCGAGAAATCACCCCCTAGGGGGGAATGGCCACACTGCAATCCCTTCTCCTCCATTCTCCTCTCGGGATCTTGGGCACGCACGCACGCACGCACGCCTGGCGTGAGTTTAAGTAACCGGGTCTGGGACTTGAACCACGGTAGACTACATGGAAGTCCAGCGACATAGCCATTACGTTAACTGCTGGTCCCTAAGTTTAGTGTTTTTAAAAGGAAGTTTTTTTCAAAGTTAAAATAAAAATTTAAGAGTACCATCGATTTCAAAACCCACTGGCAGGGAAATAAAGCACTAGACAATTTAAAACTAAAACCATTCAGTATTTGAACCACCTCAAAATACAGAAGCAAAATGGTGGAACTCCACGGAGCGGCCGGGTGAGCGTGTGTGCGTGTGAATGTTTTGCTGACCTCAGAGGAGGCCATCAGTCTCTCTCCTGGCCACAAGGGCCAAGCCACATCTGACTAAGTAAAGGGTACCAACACGGAAAGAATGACTCCCCACAATTGAGGGGAAGAGCAACTACCCAGCCTCAGGAGGTTGGGACAGACTTGGTGAGTCACTTCCTCTTAGGAGGAAGGCAGACCTTTCTTGTTTCCTGATGGATTCCGAGATGCAGGAGCGCACCTGAGCTCCCTGCCTGACTAAGCTATGTGAGAATGCCATGGGCAAGGCCAGAGACAGCACGGCCACTACAGGCCACTACAGGCCACTACAGGCATTCCACCCGGCCAGTCGCTGCGAGTTCCAAGTCGATGTCGACTTCCCTGTCTGGTCTGTCTCAGCCTCCGCACTGCGAGCTCCTCGGAGGCTACATGGCACCTGCAACAAAGCTGTTCGTGTTCCGGGCACATTTCTCCTCTGGCCTCGCCTGGGCAGTGGCCTCGGCTGCCGCTGGCTCATCACCCCCGTGTCTCTCATCCTGAACCAGACCTCCTTAGCCCGTCAGTTTACAACTGCAGCTTTCTGGCAAGGCCCACTTCCCTTCTGGAGGCCGCCTCTGGGCCGGCGGCACACACACGTGGACGGATTAGGCAGAGCCGTGCTCTAAAGCACACACACGCTCTCCCAACGTGGGCTTTTCATTCCTGAAATACTTCACTCCTAAACCGCTCTGTGCCTCCCCTGGCATGGAACAGCACGGCGGCTCTGGGCCAGAGGAAGTGCCTGTTTAGAAGTGTGGACTTTCTTTAAATTTCTTTACCTCAGAAGATCAGAAATAGAACATCCCAGCATAATTATGATGAAACAAAGTAGGAAGAGGAAAGGTCACCGGGAGGGAATATACCAGTTGTTTGTTTGCTTTTTAAGCTGCCTAAACGAAATACTGGAAATGTGAGGGAAAACATAGAATTATCTTCCATGAGAAGAGAAATGACAGGGTCCCTGTTAGGACAGGCAGGCAAAATAATACCTTTCAAAGTCGGGGAGCATCTGCCATTCTCTGGTGCCACATTCGTTCTTGTTTTAAGGTCACCCACCAAAATGAGGTGTGGGCGGAGGGCTTTTTAACTGTTGTTTTGCTCTGGACACCTTTTACTTTTGTACCTTGCTTTTTTATGACTTGGTTCTGTGTTTCCAATTCACATAAAAGATGAATGTCCTCCCCGGTTCACTGATCTGTCTTTTACTCTTTCTCTACGTTCACTTCCAAATACCGAGTCAGCGTTCACTCACGCCACACAGTGTGGAGTCAGTAATCCATCCTTGCGCTGTCCTCAGGCATCAACAATCGGATTGGGAAACAGATCCCTAAACCACCAAACACGTGCACAACATGCTAAAGAAAGGACGCCAAGCCCCGAAGTACACACGCACACGCTCGCCCTCCGACCTGCATCAGTGTGGACCTAAAGGACACCTTGGACACTCAGGCCCGGGGGAGGGAGGCACACTTACTTCCTTTCCACTTCTGGTGTTGACACGGCGCTACAGAAGCCAAGAGACTCCTAGGAGAGAAGATTCATAGCGTCAGTGCAGGAAGAGCAGCAGGCTGCATCTGAATTACACGGAATATCACCAAAAAAAAAAAAAAAAGGCATAAGCAAAATAGAAGATTAAAGTCATTGTGCTTACTTCGATCTGGGACCGCAGCTGAAGTGACGTGGGGCTGGCATCGGGTTTCTCCTAAAACAGAACAGATGCTGGTTTAATGAGACTCCCAAACGTGGCACACACGACGAAGACAAACAGACGTGTAAGAAGAGACGGGAGGATTTGGGAAACGCTGAGGTATACTGTGGGAGGACATGGTGGAGATAAACAGATTTTTTTTTGGGGGGGGGGCTGTACTTTTAAAACAAGAGCACTGGCCTCTTAAAATCGAATTGCTTTCCGAACTTCGCTGCTAGACAATGCTGACAATTTGACTGCAGAAGGAAATAGCACAATCTACCTGAAGAAATGGTGAAAGTTATGCTCTGGATACACGTAGACCTCACGAGGACACTGAATTTATTACAACCCGTGGGAGTTAGGTTTATTCTTCAGTATCAGTGGAGTTCAGTGTGGCTGTTAAGGTCTGAATATATTCGGAGTATTTAGTAATCATTGTAACTGTAAGTGTCTTAGAGAGCTGGAAGGGTAACAGGCTGTTATCTGGCAGTCTTAAAACTCACCATCCTCCTACTAATATAAATTAACTGGCCCATTTGAAAATGTGAAATCCCAAACTCTGAGCATTCACTTGAAAAACGAAATACCAACATGAGTGCACTGAAATTGATTAAATTCTAAAAGAGAGGCAGAGGAATTAATAATCGTAGAGCTAAAATCATATGGTTTAACACCCTCATGTTATAGTTAAGGATGCTGTATCTTCTTTGCAAGACAAAAAAGGAAGACAGTTAACCAGTTACTTGTGATGGAAATAATATTCCGAAATAAGCGTTGACAACAACATATAAACATCGCACGAGGACAAGTTTTAGACATGGCATTTGCAGGGAAAACAAGAGTCTGTAATCAGAGCACAGAGCGTCAGACCAATATGTGTCTTAAGGAAGGAATACTTCTAAATCTAAATAGGTACCAAGTAAAGGTCCCCATCATAGGTGCCCCACAGACCAGAGTGGTCCCTAGCAGACTGTCACATAAGCAGGACCCTGGGCCGTTTCAGAGGAGGCAGAGATCTTCGCATGACACATGTCTTAAACACCAGGTGAACCATGATCTCTCCCACCATGCTGTGTGCTACGCTTAACTGGGTTAGCCCCTTCAGGACTGCACACAGGCAGTGTTTTGTCAGCCTCAGCTAAGAGGAGGTGACAGATGACCTGAAATTACACATTCTCTTGTGCATAGGATGGATGGATCAACCTAATAAAGTCTCCTGTTTCGGCATTACCGCAACGATAAAACGAGACTAGAAGTGAAATTTTTTTAGTGCAGTGTTAAAAGTAGCAAAGAAATATGAAAATAAGTACAATTCCGAGTAAAGTGAGGAATGTTAACAGGTAACAGGAATCTGACACAGAGATGAAATGCAAAATGCACACGCTCTCATGCAGGAGGCGGGGGCAGTGTTCCGAGCATCTGCTGCTCGTACATGGGCACACTGTCACCCAATACACTCAGAAACTGCTGAGAGGGTGGATTCTAGGTTATGTGGTTTTCTGTCACAATTTAAAACAAAAAAAAGGGCAGTGCTGGGATGAGTAAATCTCAGAACAGGATGACTGTGAACAAACAGCCTGAAAAAGAAAAGTATTTTAATGGACTGGATTTTAACAAACTGGCAACTCCCTTGTCCCTGGTCCCCTAATCCCAGACCCCTGTTTGTTATACAAAGTACCAGAGTGATGTGAAGCCTCACAGAACTTTTCTCTCCTTAGCACCTTCCAAGCTTCTATTGCTACCATTGTTTCTAAAGGACAAACTTACATTTCTGTACCAAACTGGACCCCTAGCTTTTATAAGGCAATGTAGGGGAAATGCGTTAAATTCCAAGTCCAGCTGCTGGCATGTCCCAGTCAGGCGCAGTTGTCAAAGGGGATACATGTTTTGGACTTTCCTGGTAGTTACAGATTAGGCACAATTGTTACAGTAAATTAAAATAGAGATCAGGCCTGAAGAACCCCTGAGCACACAAACTAGTCAGACTTCATAAGTGACCTAAATCTTGCTTACTCTACAAACATAAACCAAACTTAACTTCAGCCATTTCTTATAAATGCTTATATTAAAGAGAAACAGAACATAAGCTCAACCGATCAGAGGTGGTCATCACACATTAAACTAAGGACAGACCAAGTAAGGCAATTATATAGAACGATAACTAATCAAATATTGTCTTGGCCTCTCCCATAAAAGCCTCCCCCTCATCATGTTCCCTCACTGGGGTTCCCAGATCCCTTCTGGTTTGGAGCTGCCCAAGTCATGAATAACTGCTTCCTCAAATATACACTTTTAAGTTTCTGCTATTCCTCAGTTTACCTTTTTAAGCACAATTCCCTGATACTTAACCTTTCAGCATCATCTATAGAAACTTTCAAACTTAACAATACTAGGAATAAACAAAAGGACAGTTTGCAATATTGCTTAACCTGTGTCTTCCTGTTTAGGAGTTTGTACAGAAACCTCAGAATGAGGATGACTCTAACAGCGCCTCTCAAATTTTCTAAGAAATTGCCCCTTTAGTATCCAACTGCAGCGCACGTGCTCACGATCATTAACCAAAATGATTGGACTCAGTTCCCATCCTCCATTTTTACTCCTTTAAGCTCTAAATTTCTACCTCTCTAGGTAATACTTCAGGACTGGACATTATCTTATTTTACGGTATATATTTATCTGCATTTCTCTTATAGATTTTATTTGTTGAATGCCTCATTTGTCATATCTTATCATAAGTGTACCCGTTACAAACACAATGCACCTGTTCCTGAATATGAAGCAGCTGCTCATTAACAGCCATATTATTATATTTGAGGACCAGAAAGAAACACTTTACACATTTTATCTTAACGTGTTAGCTTCTTACTTATAACACTATTTGACTGTGTTTAACCTGCCTTTTAGAAAATTGATTAGGGGTGCAACTTGATGTATATTAAACTTGTTTCCTTAAAATAATAAACCTAAGGGGAACCAGCAGTTAGCGTAATGGCTATGTCGCTGGATTCCCACGTAGTCGACCACGGTTCGCGTCCCGGACCCGGTGGCTTAAAACTCACGCCGGGCGCGTGTGCGTGCGTGCCCAAGATCCCGAGAGGAGAATGGAGGAGAAGGGATTGCGGCGTGACCATCTCCCCTGGGGGATGATTTCTCGCTTTCTGTCTCTATGTCTCTCTCTGTCTGTCTGGCGAGCGCACGCGCCCTACAGTGAAAATCTCTCCCCAAAAAAACAAAAAACAGAAAACAAAAACAAAAAAAATAATAATAATAAACCTAAGTAAAGTTTTCATGAAGAACATTTATTTTATTAGGAACAGCTTACTGGTGTTCAATTAAGCAGATTTTTTTTTTAATATGCTAGAAGGTGTACATGAGCGATAGAGAGAAGAGGACCTCACCCCTCCCCATGAGCCCTAGCCACATTGCAATCCCCTTTGATCCTCCAATTGTCCATCCTCTCATGATCTCAAGCATACATGCACATAACTTTCAAGCCTTGGGGCCAAGACTAAAGCCCTAGGGCCAGGACTCGAACTCTGGTCAACCATGTGAGATTGGGCCCAATGAGATCTTTTGCAGTTTTATTTCTAATGTAGTTTTTATTTTTTTTTAAACATGCAACAAAATAGCACTTTTCAGGGAACCTTAATTTTATCTCTAAACAGAAGAGACTTCAATCATTACTAAAAAGACATTTCTTAAGACTGAGACCATCCAGAGCCAGCAGGGGCATAGGGGTTAAGTCACTGGACTCCCACATGGCCGAAGGTGGTTCAAGTCCTAGATCCCGCACCTTGAAACTTATTCCAAGTGTATGTGCATGTGTGCCCAAAATCCCAGGAGGAAGAGCAGAAGAGAAGGGATGGTGGCATGGCCATTGCTCCGGGAGGCAATTTCTCACTTTCCCTCTCACTGCCTCACTGTATCTCCAGTGAACACACATGTTCTATGGCAAAAACCTTTAAAAAAAAAAAAAAGTGAGCACATTCTAAAGTAAAAATATTACACAACTGAGCATAAGTATATAAAATGACCCACAAAGTTTAAGACCTATGTGATCGGGACCAGCAGTTGGTGTAATGGCTATGTCACTGGACTCCTACGTAGTCTACCGTGGTTCGAGTCCTGGACCCGGTGGCTTAAACTCAAGCTGGGCATGTGTGCATGCGTGCCCAAGATCCCAAGAGGAGAGTGAAGGAGAAGGGATTGCAGCGTGGCCATCCCCCCC